CTCTTTTGAAGGGCTGATTTATTAAATACTTAGCTGTAAAGTACTTGTAAATACATCACAAGTGTTTAAGTAGTGCTGTTCAAGGGAGCACTGCATTGGTAACTACGTCTACCCATAAATAGAGCACAGAGAAAAATATATAAGGTCAGGCTACCACTCTAAGCATGGTCAAGTAACTCCGCTGAGTGACTAGAAGGCAAGGATAACAGACTAAGCCCAAAACTCAAGAAACAAAGGGCACCAAGTAAACCAGGACGCAAAGGCCTTTGGGCTTTCTTCTTAAAGAAGAAAACCAAGCTTCACTTTCCCTTTATTCTTCTTTCTCCTTTTCTGAATATCCACAATGCAATTCCTTAGTTTGCATTTTCCAAACTTTCCTTAAATTCACACTTTATGTTGCACCAGCTAAGAACATAAAAATCGGTAACTGAGTTCTCAGTTCTGCTTTGAGAGTGCTTCTCATTCTATTAACTTATCACTTCACTGCCTGCTTAGGGAAAGGGGGGCAGGAGGCAGCTCATACTCCACAAGCCAACAGAGGGCTCTACACCCTGCAGTCATCTCACTGGTTTTCCTTTTTTTTCTCTCTCTCCCTTTTTTCCTTCAATTATTTTTATTTATTCATGTGAACACCTGATGTAGGCTTGTTTTCAGGGTAAGATCCTAATGCTGTAGACCTAGAAAGGCTTTCATACCCTACTACATCAAGTTAAGAGTTATTTTTAAATAAAATAATTCACCTTTCTTGTTTATTAATTTCCCACACTCAGAATATGTTACTTTGTGTAACCATTAAATGACCATTTATAGATTTACATATGAGGATTTCTGGTGTTTGATTGTAGCCTCCACTTCCAAGGTAATCAAATAGCCCCTACCTGCTTTGATTTTTATGCTTCAAATTGCTAGAAGAGTAAGGAAGAGAGTGAAGGGCGGGGAGAGAGAGAGAGAGAATATAGTCTTTCCTAAGTAACTTTAATTTGGGGAGAAAATAGCAAGACAAAAGTTACTTGGAATACTAAAAAATCAGGAGATGATTTGAGAGGTCAGGGGCCCCTCTTGGCCATATGGAACTCTCAAAGTGAGGCACGCGCACTCATAAAAGTGGATGGATGTGGACTGGGTTGGGATGATAAGCACTTGGTCTCAATGGACTTCAAAAGTAGGAATGTAAAGGCCCCAGTAAAGTCAACAGAGTGGCTGGTAAGCCTTCTCCCTGCATATTCACCCCTCTTTCACTCTTATTTAGAGATTCATTATTCTGAGTTTTCTTTTCTCCCAAACTTTATAAACAAATGCACATGGACCAAAGGAGATAGTTTATTAAGGTGCCCACCACAGAGCCTGGCCCCGAAGTTCTTCTTCTTATCAACTTATAATAGAACATGTTCAATACAGGACTGCCAAGTGAGTGACTAGCCCAACACTTCTTCCATCTCTCCTCTGGTGACTGGGATTCTTCTTGACACTGGCCAGCCCTGTAGTAAATCGATCCTTGACCCAAGAGTGCACGCCCAGGGAATGGCCACCCCACCTGCATTGGCCTTGCACCCAGAAGGTCTGGGTTTGTGTCCAAGTTCATCACTTATAATCTTTGGGATACTGGGTAATTTTTAACCTTGGAAGTTCAATTTCTCTGTTTATAAACCATACCAAAGGATTATTGAAGGAATGGAATAATATGTACAAATGTCTGACCCATGTCAAAATAGCTCACAACTGCTCCAGTTAAAGAGTTAAACCGTCTGCCTACATGTTTATGGCAACCAACATGCAGAACAACAGAACGGACTTCCTAGTTTATCTAGGTTTCAGTTTTCTGTACCAGTGTCTATTACTCCATCCTCATATTCCCAGAAAGGAGGAAATTATGACACCTTAAATGTGATACATCATATTTGGTCAATCGGGTGAAATTTTAAAGTCACTTGCTTGGGTTTCCTGAAGCCATCTCTAGGTGGGAATTGTGTCTGGACAGGCATTGGTATTACCAGCTCTAGAGTCTTCCCTGTTCCGTCTTTTGAAAGAAATTAAAAAGGGATTCTAAGGTTTGATCGTAGAAGTTAACGATGGTATCTTAACTGGTGGAAACATGTAGCTCAAGGGTCTACTCATGACAAAATGACTTTCTATTCAATTTTAAGAGCGGGTAAAATAGGAAGTTGAAGTAAACCTCAGCCCTTTAATAGGTAAGACCTCAACAAATAAACAGTGGTGTAGTGGTGTGGCAACCTGTACCGTGCTTCAGATAATTTGAGATGTCTATTTTGAGTGACCCTCCAGCACATGTGATTCTAGGTAAGTATTGTTGCTATTCTATATCAGTGTTTTCTTGCTGACGGAGTTAGAGGAGCCGGCATAACCCTTCTGATAAAGTCCTAGCAAGGTAGGGTTCCTGAGCCTCTCTCTAAATCCCAGCGAGCTCTCCAAGCCCCCAGTTACTGACATTTCTGTAAAACTGGCAAACATTCACGCATCTGGACAGCACGGCTGTAGAACTTCTCTGACAACTTGGTTATTTTTCTTAAAACTACCACTGCCATTTCAAAGGAAGCCATAAACACATACTATATTTCTTAAAGTATCTTCATAAATATAGAAACTTCAGGGCTAAGCCTGAAAAATAAGCATTTTCCTCCATGTCAAGAACAAACTGAAGGTCTTGGCTGAACAAGACTTGCATATTACGCCTGTTAACTTTCCAACTTCAAGAGAAAAAGCCCAGGGGTCTACTCAAAATGTGATTAGTATAAAACAGCATTTTCTTATAGGAAAGAAAGAATGAAAGAAAAAGCCATTTCACGTGAAAATATTCTGGATGCTTATTTTTTAAAAGTTGTTCCTACAATTTTACAAGTGAAGTACTGAATATCAAATTCATATTTTGGAAAGAAAGAACACCAGCAATATAGTTCACACATTCTTTAGAGTAGCAACCAAGCCCCTAGGGAACCCTAAAAGCGAGTCATGATTTCTTAAATGTTACAGAACTAAAACGTTTTCAAAAGGAACAAAAAAGGGGTGATGCTTGGTGTTAAACCTGATACTCTGCTAAGCATACAGGACTCCAAAGAGCTGATGAGTGCCTACTGCAGAGTCCATAATAATGCTTTTGCCCAGTAGCTTCAGAGGATGAAAATTCAATGTGCAACTGCCCCCATTTTTTTTTTTTTTTTGTAAAGAGGCATATCTGATGAAGAGGGAAATCAGATTCGATTCCCTTGTCATGAAAAGACAAGGCAACTCAATGGTGACAATTTCAATTTTCCCTCATGTGGCTGAATTTTCCACTGCCTTTAAAAATGCTTAAGACTTTTTGTTCCAATATCAGCAGTAAAAGGCAATCCCTTCATCAGCCTAGTAATATAAAGGGCCAGTTAAGCGATGAGAAACTAAGAAAACAGAGCCTTCCTTTGGATTTGACACATGAGTGGCTGATGTGAATTAGTTTACTGAAGATGATGTGAATTAGTGTAAATGAACTTAAAGGCAAGATGAAAGAATCTCCTTGATAGTTGTACCCTCTTTGGAAACAAGGTATTGTTTCACTCCAAGCCCATCTCGTTTACTTAACATACCATTTGACCTAATTTACCATCTACGCTTGTATTTTAGAATTTAAAAACATCAATGTATACATTTTAAATCATTATTAATAATTATTATGTAGTAGGAAACCAATTGTTTCATGGGTCCTCTTCCTAAATACACCTAAATGCATTTATTGATGAGAGGCAGCCCCCCAAAACATCAAGCTTTAGGTTTCTTTCTGTTTGTTTACAAAAGGGCTACTCCACAGACAGGCCACTTAGCTGTGTGCATAGTATCTTCTGGGAAGATTTATTTGGAAATTTTCCAATCAAGTAAAAGAACCTCCCCCAGAAACCTAACTGTGAGAGCTAATGACATGGGCTGTCAAGCTCTGTGGGAGACAGTGGGGATGCCTTTTGAGAACCCATGTTTTAACCCAAAAAGAGAGCTATTCTTTTGAGAACCAGTGTTTTAACCCAAAAAGAGAGCTACTTGCCTGGAAACCCAAAGGAACAGATGACACTTGTACATCCCACAGTACAACTCACATACAGAAAATTCCCGGGGAAGCTAATTCCTGCTGTCTGAGAGGGGCAAGGAACCACCACATCTGTTGCTGGCCACCTGCCCTTTTCTCCAGATGTGTTGCTTATCTGTTCCTTAACAAGCCTGCTACTTTGAGAAAGAAATATTACTGTAAACCATATCACATACAGCTGCATCCTGCATGGCACGGAGAAAAGTCTGCATTTTGGATTTTTGAAACGGTATCACAGAGCAAACAGTCATTGACGTCAGTGGTTCTACAGTGTAAATGAACTTCTTATATTATCTAATTTGGCACAGTGGGCCCTAGGCAATTACTGCATTTTACAGTGCTTTTGCAATTGCCAGCTTGCCCCATGGGATGAGGGGACCTGCATTCTATATTGATTTGCAAATGAGACTCTTGATGTAATGGCATCCACACATTTCTACTATTCCTTAATAGTAAAAAAAATTAGATACAAATCCCACAAATAATCTGGCAATAAAAAGAACCTGAAACATACCCATCTTCACCTTGCTTGACGTGTGTGTGTGTGTGTGTGTGTGTGTGTGTGTGTGTGTTTTCAAGCCTAATGGGTAGGTAAAAAAAATAGCATAGCCAAAGCTAACTCTTAAAAAATTCAAGAGAGCTATCTATCCAATATGGATATCCACACCCAGAGCTCTCGCATATCCTCTGCAGCCATGCTTCTCCTTTCGGGGATCTGGTTACAATGCAGATCTGACTCAGTGGCCCTGGGCTGGGGCCCAAGACTCTGCATTTCTAACAGCTCCCAGGTGGTGCTGTTGGTTTGAGGCCTCTCACTCAGCATCAAGGGGAAATCCCAGTTGGTCTGGGAGGGTTTTTGCACACGAGACTCGGCTGTGGGTGGTGGCCCAGGTGCAGGAAAGGCGGGCAGTGGGCTCCGTCTGGTACTTACCCTGCATCTGACTCTGAGGCTGAGGGTTAAAGGCAGTGGAGTGGTTCAGGGAGGCACGAGGGTTGGGCGTGGGGGCTGGGTGGTGTGGGCTGACCCTCATGGCTGTGCGCCGCAGCTGCTCCAGTTCACTGAGCCGCTCGGAAAAGGACAAGCTCCCGGGCTTGGGCTGATCATCTAGTTTCTGCCGATGTCCTATTGTGGGGAGCAGGGAGGGGAGGGGATGGGAAGAGGGAAGGGAGGCAGGGAAGGAGGGAGGGAAGAGATCAGAAAATGTATTGTGGATTTCCTAAAATTGGGGCTTTTCTTGTCTTTCTCCTCTCTCTTCCCTCACCCCAACAGACTCGCTAGAGATCTGCCCAGGGGACTAGCTGCCAGTGGTAATTTGGGGCCACTGTCCTCTCAGCAGAATGGGCCCCCTTTCACCACCCTGGCCACAGAGTGCTCCCCCAGTCTGGGCATCAGCACCCTCCCCAACCCTCTACACCGACTTCCATTGGGTAGAACTCAGGGGGATACGGAGCTTGGTGGTGGTGATGCTGGGAGGGAAAGAGGTGCATTAATTGTTGGCACATGGCCACATGCCAGGGGCCATGCTGTGGCAGCCAAGAAAGGTGGTCTCCCAGGGGCATCAGAACGGCTGTTCCTTACTGCAAACCCAACCACGTGCAAGTTTTAGAGGCAGCAAAGTGGGCCCTGGAGCTTAGTGGCAGGGCCCCTCCAAGGGGAAATGAGGCATGGCTGCAAACCCACAGCCCCTGGGGAGGTCAGATTTCCAGGTACACACACGGCATCCTCAGCCCCTCTCCCTCTCCCTCTCCTTCTCCTCACAGGCTTCTCACAAGCATTCCTTCTTCCCTGAAGCTAACTCCCCTTTGTACCCCGGAGAAAAAGTTGACAGGAAGGCCTCGCCTGTGACTTGTCCAATATTCCCAGCATAATAGGCCCACAGGAGCCCAGAGGTAGCTGCAGCCCATCTGGAGAGCTTCCCCAGGAGGCTCAGGACTCCAGGGTAGGATGGTGGGTCCCTCAGTGTCTATATAGATGGCAAGTGTCCTCATCATGCTTTTCACCAAAGCAACTGTCACCAGGAAGCAGCAAGCAGAGGCCACTTACAGGAGACTGGGGCCTACAGTTCTCTCTGGATGTCCTTAAACCAGAGCCAGTCCTGTCCAGCACAGCTGAGGCTCCAAGGTAGGGATGTAGCTGTAGGGGGCCTGAGCCATTCATTTCTCTTTTAAAGAGAATGGCCTCCTGCTGCTTCCTCAGCCGTGTGGTTCCAATAAAGAGTCCTTGATCAACCCGTTCCCTATTGTCAAGTGGCATCAAAGCCAGGTTGAGAAGCAGCCTGCCCGCTGCCCCCATAAAGTGCTCTTTCACATGCCCTGACCCAATCCTAGACTAGAAAGAGGCCCCCTTGATTCCACTCCCATGGCCTGGGGTAAGAGCGGGCCACAAGAAGTGCACTGTAGTCCAGCTCCCGACGGCTACGATTATAAAATTAACTGGTATAACTTGCATTATGGCTACAAATCTCCATGCCTGGCCATTTCTTCCTGCTGCCAGGCCCCTTGGCACAGTTGACACTGTCTCAAATTCCAGACCAGAAAAAAGGGCCCACTATAATGCAGTGATTTTATCATTAACAAGACCTGTTTGGCTCCAAAATGAGGAAAAGTACTTAAGCATAATATTTGTGTAGTTCAAATGCAATGCTCCCTCTTGTCATGTGTCACCAAGGCAAATCTGGACTCTGACTCAGCGCTCCAGCCCACAACACAGGACTCAAATGCAAACAGCCTGAGTCACGCAGGCTCAGCACACACGTGGGAGGCTTCTTCTGGTCTGAGTATTTTAAGCACCAGCTTTGTGGATGAAAGGCCATGGGGCCAGGTCCTGGAGCAACCGCCATCATTTCTTTCCCTCAGAAGTATGAAAACGTCCTTTTTCCTACAACAATCTGTGTTGGTCAGTCATGGTGTGACTCAGTGCTTCTGGATGAAGCCTTCCTAGCTCCTCCCTCCTCTTATCTCCGCCATAGAGAGTTGACCTCCTGATGATCAAACTGAAAAATCTGCAGTTTTCTTGCAGAAAAACAAACAATTCCAATGGAACACCCATTCAAAACATAATAACTCAGCCCTTTGCGGTGGCTCACACCTGTAATCCCAGCACTCTGGGAGGCCAAGATGGGCAGATCAGAAGGTCAGATAGAGACCATCTTGGCTAACATGGTGAAACTCCGTCTCTACTAAAAATACAAAAGACTGGCCAGGTGTGGTGGCAGGTGCCTGGTAGTCCCAGCTACTCAGGAGGCTGAGGCAGGAGAATCGCTTTAACCTGGGAGGTGGAGCATGCAGTGAGCCGAGATCGTGCCACTGCACTCCAACCTGGGCGACCGAGACTCCATCTCAAAAAAACCCAAAAACCAAACACCAAAAAACACTTGAGCCTTTTAACTGCCTACCACAGTCTAATGCCTGGCATTATGAGTTGGGAAAAGAAGAAGTCAGGAAAAATTATTGTGCAGAGCTCTACCTGCCTCGTAAAGAATGCCAGTTGGCAAAGCCTGCCAGCAGGTTTTATACTGTCAAAACTTCACATTCCTTGGGCACTTAGTGGCATTTTTGAAGAACACTGTGTCAAGAACAATGGGTAACCCAGGGAAGGGATGTGAGTGAGGTCATTCTGAATACATGGCACTTGGTGTGGTAGAGTCTACAGCCAGCCTTGGAAGAAAGACTCTTGCCAGTTGTGTCTCTCTTAGCCACCAAGCGTGGGGACCTGTGCCATGAAGACCCCCAACAGGAATCATCATTTCAAGTAAAAGTCCTGTGACCAGGCACAATGTGAGTTTGTTTGTTTCTTTGCTTTTTGTTTTAATTAGTCCCCCCATTACTATATACTTAGAAATAAGAGCTTTAACTTGTGAGCAATTTCTATACCAGCTGACACCTGCCAAAATCGCAGTCATTTACAGAGATTAACTGATGACTGTCTGCTTTAGCAGAAGTGTTCAGGCATAACTCTCAGAGAAAGCAATTCTTCCCTCTGAGCTATTCTCTAAGCCCTGGGAGTCTCAGGGCTGAGTTTAATGCTGGAGGATTGGGGAAGAGCCCATTCCACTCTTCCCACGTGTGTGTTCTTGGAAATAAGTAGGAACGTTATCGCCTTGGTAGGGGTCTTGACCCTCAGGCTCACCACGGTGCTGAAGAGTTGTAACACCAAGGCACAGGGGAAATGAGAAGCATTATCATCTTCAAGGTGTGGTTCGGATGCACTTATAAGCCAAATCAAAGGAACACCTAATTCTTACTTTCTGAAAACATCAGACTTCACGTGCTAAATAGTGGTATTTTGCAAGAAATATGGGAACTTCCGATATAAACTTTCAAGCTGGAGAAAATGAATACTTTATGTCTCCCGTTTCCTGTGTCTGTGTTCAATTAAAAGGCCCATTTGCCCCCTGAATTTTAAATAGAGGAGTATGGTAAATATCTACTGTCCAATTCACTTCTCTTTTTTCTCACTGAGTCCTGGGCTTTAGAGGGCAACAGGGGATTCAGCCCTGGGTGAAGCCCTCGGGTAGAATCGGCAGGCAGCTCTGAACACCAGCATGCTGGCAGCTTGGCCTCTTCAGCATGTTTGGAGTCAACGGTGAATGTTTACTGGTGGTGCTTAAAGTAGTGGGCACATCAAGATTTCACACTGGGACATCTTAATCTTAAGCAGAGTTGAAAAGGATCCTAAATTCTTCTATTACCATTTTGTCATTTTTGAAAAAAAAAAGTACATGTATGGAATTTTATTATGTATGAAGAGTCATAAAAATCCAAAAAAGGGGGGAAAGTTTACATAATAGAAATAAGTCAATTCCCTTTGCTAAATTTTACCTTATTCCAAAGGCATTCCTGTTGTTTTCTGGGTTGGCTGCTTACTAGGGCATCCTTAAATGTTATGTATTTTGTGATGGATAATGAGACCAACTTTTGCTTTTCTGCTGTACAAACTAAACTAAGCAGGTATGCATATCTCATTGATAACTGAACTGCCTTCTTCAAGACACCATCGTGATCTGTGGCTGTAAATAACAGAAATATAATAAATGATATTCAATTAAAGAAACCAGATAAGGTTAAATTGCCACCATTTCTTGGAAAATTTTGGTTAGAGAGAGTAAAGAATTTTCTGGCAGTCAACAACATGCTAGTCTACATTTCTCATAAGGGTTTACTAGTTTTCTTGATAGATTCTCAGCAGAAAAATGAGGAAGATATCTGTCAGAAGACTGTCATAATGAGCAGCTGAGGAAAATCTATGCAAAAGCTTAATACCAAAAAGATATATATCTCTCTGTGTGTGTGTGTATATACACACACACACACACATATACATATATATACACATATATATATATGTATATGTATATATATATATATATATAATTGTGGGTCTTCTAAAAGAATATTAGACTTTTATATAGTCAATTTTAAAAGGATATCAGAAGATGTTGGCCAGTCAATTGGATACTCACTGCATGAATCTGAAGAGCTTACTTTTTCTGGTATCACAGTCTAACTTTTAGTTTGCAGGGTCATTAGGATTTCAAAGTGACAGTACTGAATGTCACCCTTCCTTGAAGCCCCTTGCCGGTGGTGAAATAAACCTCCCTAATTGCAAACCTAACCATCTGCTGGCTAATTTAATGTTGGGAAATATTGTTCAATATTATATACCATAGGTATATTATAAATATAATGTAATATAAAATATCTAATGGTATAGAGTATACCAATATATATTCTAATTCATATGATATATGCATGCTTACATATTGTCCAATACTACATAAACATGGGTAGCCTCACTTTCCCCCACCCCAATTTCTTCTCATATCAGTAAACTAAGAGAATACCGCAAAGTTAGAGTTCTTCAGAACTGGAGAAGGGCCAGAGAAATCAGCCTTGGTTTTTAACTAATATATGGAAAGTGAGGTTCAGAGAGGTTATGTCATTTGTCCAATCTCACACAGCCAGTTACAGGAAGAGGGCAGGTCTGAAAACACACCCACTCTCAACACCCATCGACACACACACACACTCAGGATGCACACACAGTGCACCTAGAAATACACATTTCTGTGAACCCAAAGCAAACAGAGAGGAGAGGCGCACAATGCTGCATGGTTTTACATC